CGGAGAGATCTATCATATTACTTTGCTTCAAGTATGTTTTTTTTTGTTAATGATCTTAAGCAGAGTTGTTGCATTGTCCAATTAGCTAACGAACCAGCCTCACTATATTTAATGTGTTAATACTGCTTTGCTAGGTTTGGAAGCCTTGTTTAACTCTTGAGTTAATTCTGTGCAGTTCCCTTTATTATTGATCACCCTTGTTTATTTAACTTGGTTTTTGAACACCTGTTCTTTTGTTCACTGTTTGATGATCGGTCCTGAAAGCGCTTTGTGTGTGTTTGAACGTTTGTTACAGAGAAGGAGATTCAACCCCTCTGAGACTAAAATGACTCACTGAAGGTATATTGTCTTCGTATTGTCATTGACTTGCCTAGATTTTGGTTATACTTGGGTACTTTCTTCAATGTACCTACTTGTAATGTTCAATTTTAAATGCAATATACTAGATTGTCATATACATTCAGCCTCACAAAGAAAACAGGTTGTGAGCTACAAAGCATTATTAAGCTAGTTTTACAGATGGTCTCTCTCTCTCCTCCACTCACCCTTCTGTCCACACAGGACAGAAAATATATTTCCCTCAATGAATTCTCACTGCTGAAGCATTTGTGTGATTTTCTTCTCATTTTTCATTCTCTCTTTTTTTTGTTTTTTTTTTCTTTTTCTTTTGCCATTTTTTTTTTTTAAAGACTCCAGTCACATCCGCAATCCCGCGGCCCTATAAGGAGCTTTCACGCTTTTTGGTTTGCTTTAGATGTTTAATACCCCCTCTCTTTTGTGTCAGGGAGCCGGAGAGGCGTTAAGAAGCGCTGATAAACCCCACTTAGATCCCTTCCTGGCCCGTCACCCCGGCCTGCCGGGCCGCTTTAGCAGGGAACTGATCTGTGACGGCCTGCCACTCAAACTGAGCACTTCTGAAGGCTGACACAATGGAGTGAGCAACACACCAGAGGGCCCAGGGGCGGGCGGGCGGGCGGGTTGGTGGGGGGAGGGGAGAAGGAGGTAGGGGGAGGCGGAGGAGGCGGAGGAGGGAGACAAGGCCTAGAGGTTCCCTAAGAGAAGGCTAGAGGAGGGGCCAAAGTGTATCTCCCTCTAATCTTTGTCCTCCATGTATGCTATTGCTCGCTACTGTGGAGCCCACACATTTCTTTTCACTGTTCATCTTGTAGTCGGTTGCACACACACAACTCCACCTCCTCTGTCTTTTCTCTCTCTCTCTCTCTCTCCTCTCTTCTCTCTCTCTCTCTCTCTCTCTCCTCTCTTCTCTCTCTTCTCTCTGTGGTCGGGGATATCAGCCTGGCAGCTATAGATGAGAGATGTAGGAAGAGGCAGAGAGTAGATGGGTGGGGGGGGGAATGTGGGGGGGCGGGGTTTGAGGTCCGGATAGGGATCAGCGGTGCATCAGGGTCTGGGTGCTGGTTGGTCATGTGATGCGTTTACTGCTGCATGGCATCATGGGTCCAGCAAGGGGCAGGCTGGGGCCGACCAAGCCTCAGGAGGCCTAGCGTTGTGATTGACAGGCGGAGGGAGGAGGTGGGCTGGGTTGGAGTGCGGGGCGGGGGCGCAAGTGGCCGCTGCCATCGCCATCACTTTCCCAGGGGGCCGTGGGTGGGTAGCGAAGCCCAAAATGTCAGCGCTGATATCTGTGCAGCTCTGCTCGTATCACACGGCTGCAGCTGCCTGCCATCCACCGCATCCACTCATTCATATAGAGAGACATGGGAGTATTATGTGCGCGCGCACACACACACACACACACACACACACACACACACACACACACACACTCTCTCTCTCTTCTAGACCCACACCTTTCTCTGTGTTTCCTCTCCACCTTCCTCAATCAATCAATTTGGTTCTATAGAGCTATATCTGTGAACACACACACACACTTACTCCCTCCATCTTACTGTCTTTCTTCTCCTCCACCTCCACACATTCACATTGTGCCTCTGTCATTTCTACCTCAGCCGTTCAATCATGTTCCACGGCTCTTTTCTTCCTCGCTGCTGGAAAACATTTTTTTCCAAATCAAGTTTATTTATTTTTTTATAGTCCTACCTTTGTCTATATTTCACTGACACACACACACACCTACACACACATACACACATCCTTGTTCTTTCAGTCAAGCTTTTATTTTGAAAGGAGACATGTCAGCTTCTTTTGCATTTGATGCTGAAGTTGCACCGGTTTACTTTGTATGTTGTGGGCAACCATTGAAAGAAGTTCGGTTTGTAGAATGTGCTTTTCTGTTTGGTGATGTCATTGTGTTTGTGGTTTTATCTGTACTTTATCTCTGTGTGTATCTGTATGTGTGTGTGTGTGCTGCCTATATGTCACAGCTAGATGATGAATGCGCTGACAGTGGAGGGGTCAGTGTCACAGACAGTGTGGTCAATTGCCCCTCGTCTCCTGAGTCTAACCTTGAGCAACACTCCCTAAAGAGTCTCAATCTGCCATTTAGGCCCACGCCTACACACACACACACACAATACACACACACACACACACCTACACACACGTACACACAGACATTCCCCAGTGAGTGTGTGCCATTAGTAGCTGGCAGGGCCTGGTTTGACAGAGAGCGATTAGCTCCCTATCATGTGTATTGATCACCGTGTCCTGGCTGCTCCTCCAGAGGAGGGGTTGGAGGGGTTTTACAAGGTAGTTGTGGCCCGAGCGCACACACACACACACACATATGCAGTCACATCCTTATAATCTGCGTGTCTTAGTTTTGTTGTATATAAATTACAAACAAATGCAGTTTAATATGTTGCATTGTGCAATTCATGTTTTTTATAGAAAGAAGGAGTGTTTACCGAACAGTTTCTGGGCAGTATGCATTGTGGGAGAACAAATAAATTATATTAGGGTAGGCTTAATAGCTACAATGATGCATTTTTGCAGACAAAATGACAGGATAAACAAAGCACTGCAGACTACAAGTCTGGCATGCACTAGCGTCTGGGTGAAACAGTTAATGACATAATTGAATCATTTTTAGAACACGCACCATTTAATATATTGAATTTCCATCCAGTTTGGATACCTGCATGGACAGCAACTGTGACCCAAGCCCACCAATGCATGGTGTGTGGAATTTATAAAAAAACACGTCTGATGAAAACATGTAAACATATATCACACTTGGATAATATGAATTAATATTATAACTATGAGTTTCTTTACAAATGTTTACATATGTAAATAGGCAAATTAAACTTTTAAAGCATATGTGCATTTGAACTGGACATTGTATGCCAATGATAAGGTCTCACTGAGCTGTACTGGTTGGATGATGTCACTTCTGCCCGTGAACTGTTTCAGCATTATGACATTTACTGAATGTATTCTATGTGCAGATATTAAGTTGATTATATGTTTTAGCTGTACACGGTTCAGTTTTTTCTCTGTGGTGCTACGGTGTATATAAAAAGTTCTATACTGTGAAGGAACACTGTTCAAAAGTTCATTCTTTCCTTAAATAATTACTTTTTAACAGAGATAAAAACAGTTTAATTCAGACACCACATTTATTATTTACATTTTAAATCGTTTTGGCCGTTTATTCCCCCAAATTCCCTTCAATTTTGATTTTCTTTTCCAGTCCAGAAAAGCGCAAGTCACCCTCGATCATTGCATGTAGGCTCTTGATATTTTGGGTGGACATTTACCGTTTAGCCCTCTGCAGTTTACTGAGAGGTTAGTTTGAATAGGTTTAAACTGTGATTTGTTCAGCTGAGTCCAACACTGCTAACCCTATCCTAACCTTCTATTTCTGTTGTGACATTTGAAGAATAGCTTTGCTAAAGCAACTCACCTGTACTATCCAGCGTGCTAGAGGCATTATTGTGCACGTGACACTGAAACAGGAACTTGTTCCTATTTGAATCTGCACACATTCTGATGTCAAGCTTCCAATTTCTTTTACCAATCGAAAAAAAAGATCTGGCTCCTCTTGTTAATTAAGCATCACCTAAAATGTATACACTATGTCATCCAAATATTACGCTGAGCTCATTATTATTATTTTTTTAGTTTAATTTCATCTTGAATCAATATACCTAATGTAAACACAAATGATTACATTTGCAGAACTGTACACATCACATCCACTTTCTGTGTTTAATATCCCACATGTAGGGCTCTCAGCTCTAACAGCCCCCCCCCCCCCCTCCCCTACTCTCGTCTTCCTTGGATAGTTTAGTCCAGCTCTTGTTAATTGAGTCTAATTGAAGAACATGAAGGGGGAATAAAGCAAGCAGGCTTTTAGGACATAAAAGACTGCAGCCGCCTCTCAGTAGTATTTATTTTCAACCTCTTCCACTCTGATTTAAGTGTAAGAGGACAATAGTGGGCTGACACTGATATGTGTGCGTTTTGTGTGCGTGTGTCCGTGATCCGCTGTTTGATTTAGTGCGCCCACCTTCACAAGGACCAGCCTCTTATCAGATCAAAGCTGCAAGCAGCGGCCTATGAAAGGAATAGTGTGTGTGTGTGTGTGTGTGTGTGTCTGTGCGTTGTAGAGGACAGAGGTGTAGGTGAGGCGGGGGTGTTTTCATTGCTTTTAACCCAGGACAATGGGACAGCAAAGGACAGAGCGAGCGAGTACTCTTTGAACTAATGAAGAGGAAACCTTTCACTCTCCTCCATGAAGATAGCCAACTCTCCCTGTGCTATGGATCCTCCCTCTCTTCTAGAGTAGAATGAAACCGAATAGAACAGATATGTGTCATTTGCTCTGCACTTCTCACTGTTTTGCTTTTATCCTCATGAATCCACTTGAGGCCGAAATAAGACTTCACAGATGGCTGAAGATTGTTAGAGCTGTAGTACCTGAGCGTAAGCCCAGGTGTGGACACTAAACGTACCCAAGGGAGGTGGATGCAACAAACTGAAAGTTAAATGTCTTAATATTATAGTGACTGACCAAAGTCAGCCTTATTTCATATTTCTCTCTAAGTAATGCATTTCTGTGCCGTGATTTCCAGGTGCAGCAGGTGCAGAGGCAGCACGCTCATTATAGAAACAAGCGGGTTCCTTTGACAGGACTGGACCTCAGAACCACTCACAGTAAGTTTTCTTTACCAGCTTTAAGTAATGTGTTTGCTGACCTCCAGTTGATTAAAGCCCATGAGAAATTGGTTTCAAATCCAAAGTATTTCTCTCTGACATTAATTATTCATGAATGGCAATGTTAAGGTTCAGAAATGTGCTACACCTGGACTGCGTGGGTGTGCTTTCACATAATTTGATTGACAGTGGCCTGGCAACATAATGAAACAATTTCAAAAATAATTCATTAATCAAAAACAAATTTACATTTCATCATAAAGCAAAGTGTTAAAAACTGTAAATAGAAGTACAATCATATCCTACTAAAGGACATGTAGAATAGATGGGACAAAAAATTAAATGAATGAAATGCAATCGAGTAAAACTGCATATTAATGGCTTTTAAGTGACTTCAAAAATGTAACTAACATTTAATTGTGTATACACTTTTTTTGTTTTGATTTAACTATAGAGAGTAAAATTGTGTGAAGGAAAAGGGTAAACATAAGTGTTCTTTTACAAAAATATTTATAATATATTAATATATATTTAATATACTACAAATTGTGTTTTTTGTGTTGAAAGAGACAACTATAGTCTGACCAAAATCTTGCAGTAAAGTTGTAGAATTGCTGTTAAAGAATTATAGACTTTCCTTTAAGGATCTCCGAAAGCAGGACTTAAATATAGGGCATATAGGGCAGGACGCGTAGCCTTATATGGTGTTACTGGGGCGTTAATTATGTTTATTCACAATTCTCTTGAACGCAGGCTCATTTACTCACAGGGGCCATTCATCATGTTTACGCTGGTCATTTACACACACTTATCTGGAGCGAGGAGCTTTTGCTGAATCTGACGTGGCACGCTTGTACTAGCCCACCGTACGAAAAAAAGTAAGAGAAAGTTTATATGAGAATACGAAAGTGTTCTCGCATGAGGTTCAATTGATCTAAAAGATATCAGAGCTTTGTATCGGCCATACTGACATCACTCTGTATATGAGTTATACATCTGGGGACTCATGCATATAATTTACGTTGTAAACATGCTAAGACCTCGACCTAATTAAAGTGTAGAAGGCTAATGTGAAAGCAATTACTTGATTCCTGAGTCATGAACCGCAGAAAGTTGTAAACCGAATGAAATGGATCAATACATGTTCCATTTCACCCCTAATTAATACTAATCATTTAAATATATTCATGCATGTTTGTGTGCAATGTTGTATTGCAGACATTTCCGAAATGTGGGATTCCCATTACCAACTAGTACGGTATTAATTCATTTCGCAACTCATACATATTATGAAACAAGCTGATTCATATCCATCATGTGTGTGAAAGAGAGGGTGAATGGCAGCGAGATGGAGTGCTGTGCTGGGGTGAAAATGTGAAGAAAGTGAGAGAGAGAGTGGCAATGAATGTGCATGTAGTGTATGGAGAGGAAGGTGCAGGCCTTGATGAGCTGATAGCACATCAACAGACAGCGAGCCAAGCTGTGCGGCAGTAATGACATGTTAATGATATGCTAATGATATGGTAATCCTCTGACAGTATTCCACCTCACTGGAGAGAAGGGGAATCTGGGAGGCCTTTCACCATTGGTTGGAGACCAGGGACTTCCTGAAGTCAGAGTTCAAAACAAGAAAATAATACACACACACGCACACACACACACACACACACACACACACACACACATCCACACATGATGGGTCTGTGTGCTTGCAGGTTCCCAGAGGAGAGAGTCTGCATCTGACAGGCAGCCTGAGGAGAGTAAGAGTGACCAGTCCCTCACCTTCAATGACCCGCTCTGGCCCATGCAGTGGGAACTGGTGGGTGTTATTGTGTGTGTGTGTGTGTGTGTGTGTGTGTGTGTGTGTGTGTGTGTGTGTGTGTTTTTGTGTTCATTGGTGTTATCCGGGAGCCTCCTCTCTCTCTCTCTCCTCTCAGCTCTTGTCCTCATGGTGAAGGATGTTCCTTTGACAGGCATAAGTCAGGCAGGCTTTCATGTGTGACTGGAGAGAGAGACTGAAACGAGAGGGAGGTACGCAGATTATGGAGGAAAGGAAAAAGAGGGGGGGGGGGAGAGAGAGAGAGAGAGAGAGAGAGAGAGGTGAATGGGGTTGTCCATGTTGAACTGAGACAGATGTCGGGGATTGATGAGGCTCCGAGCAACACTGACACACAAACTGTGCTGAAACAAGACAAGCTCATCCCTTCAGCAGAACCTTGTTCACGTGGTTTGGCCAAAATGTGTCTGTGCAGAACAACAGCAGTACAAAACCAGTATGTTTGGGTATGAAAACCTTATTTGTTGTAGTAAAATCGTTGCACAAAATATTCAGCAGCTGCATTTACAGGCTTTTTTTGTATTATCCATATTTTCTATGCACAAATGAGGTCAAAATTGTTCGACTGGGAAGATGTACCACTCCCTCCTTCATTCTTTGTCTCTTCTGTGCAGTCTATACCAATTCTCTGAAGGATATCTTTCTCCGATGATTATCATTTTGTGGATGTAAACATGTAGACTTATTATCCCAAAGATTGTTTAGATAAAACTGCTTGAACATAATTCTGTTCAAATTCAGCAAATCAATGTAGACTGGGCATTTTTTTTATGTTTACCATACTTGCGCCAATACGCTACCTGATACATTGTTGTTGTTTTTTCTATTAAACCCCTTTTCATGATATACAACAATGGAAATAGACCAATGAATCACCCTGGCTTTTGGGACTTAACATCTTTGGGTTCTCTCATGGACACATTTGGGTTGGTACCAGCAAAATATTGAAGTTTTATGCCCAGCGCTACTAATAAGAGTGCTAAGAGATCAACCGCTGTCCATCTTTACAATAGTTGGCCGACCCTGTCTTTCTCAATGCGTGTTTGAAGCATGTAATCAGACATCTTATAGAAATGTTGTATAAGATGTGTTACATAATTGTACCAATGTGTTCGGTTCACACAAAAGCTTTGTCAACTTCAATAATAGATTTTATGGTATGATATTGCCAAGTATCCCAACACACACTCACGCACACTTACATAGCAGGGCATGAGGGTTCGGCCAATCAACACGGCGGATGTTCTTGACTGACATGTGAGGGAGTAATCTGACTGAGCCAGGAGGAGGAGAGGCGGGGTCAGAGATTCGCCACGGCAACGGGCAACAGATTGATTGACACCTCAGCTCTCTGGGCATGATGGTGGGGTGAGAGACTGGATGGGGGCGGAGAGTATAGAGACATAGATGGAGGAAGGGAGGAGGAGGGATGTTGAACGAAAAATATGAAAATCTGACACACAACTTTGTCGCACGTACTCGATTCTGAAATCTCTCAATTATGAAACTTTATTGACAAGATTGTTTATGGATCAGAGTATGATGCATGGACATTTTCAAAAGACACCAAATGGGGTTATGCAATAAAGCCAACCCTAACTATATCACTTGATTACTTAATTGAACAATGGAACAAAATAATCGTTAACTCAATAATCAAGAAAAATAATAATTTCTAAAGTTGAGTCTCTCTCTCTCTCTCTGTCCCCCCCCCCCTTCCTCCCCTGCTCTCGCTCTGTTGTGTGTTATCAGCCTCTGGTGGATGTGGATATTGATTGATGGTCAGTAATCTGCTCAAGGTTGGTAGCCTGCCATGACCAGACGTGTGTGTGCTAGCTAGCGTGGTGTGTATGTTTGCTACAAGCTGGTGTGTACATCATAGGTGAGCAGTATACACAATCATGCACACACAAGGCAAGTGGACTCCATTGTATCCTTGCTTAGGCTGAGTCCAAAGATGCTTGTTCAAAGCTGCTAAAATCCATACACCATCCTGGACATGCTTCCTGTGGATTATGAACGTGTGTGTGTGAGAGAAAGAGGAGCGAGAGAGAGAGAGTGTGTGTGTGTGTGTGTCTGCTAAAGCTGAGGGGCAGCCAAGATAAAGGCAGAGAGGACAGAGGGATTGTTTTGTTGTTGTTCTGTCTGCATGTGTGTCTTCTGCATATAGGAAGTGTTTATGTTTTGTTCTTTTGTGTTGCATGAACTTTTTCTCTGTTTACATATATTTATGTTGGTTTAAGCATGTGTGTGTGTGTGTGTGTATATGTAGATGTACAGAGAGATAGGATTGGTTGTGTTCCAGTGTTTCAGAGAATGATTATAATTCTGTTCACGATTGTGTGTGTGTGTGTGTGTGTGTGTGTGTGTGTGTGTGTGTGTGTAACTGTGAAGCTTGTGTTGTTGGCTTTCACTTCATGACAGTGAGTGTATGTGTGTGAAGTGAGTCAGCGTTCAAGATGCCTCACTGTGGGCTTATGTCCAAGTTCACAAAGGTGTACCACCTTTCTCGTCATTTAAAAAAAAAACAATAAATAGTATTTTTTATTTTTTTTATAATATAAAGAGGGGACTTGCAACCCCTGCCGATGTCTACCTATCAAAAGAGCAACCTCCATAGCCTACATTGAAACTGTCTTTGGTGAACACATTAAATAAGTACTCGAATCATCAAGACTCTCTAGTTACCTTTCAGAAATGTATTCAATTATAATCTTTTCAACATTTATACATCTTCCTGTGACCCACATATTCTCACTTTGACTAAGAATAAATTAATGTTCTACCTATAAATCATTAATTATTTGGCTGCCCGCAGTATTATCCTACGCTCATTAAAAAATACAATTAGCTTGTTGGCCAGCGTCTGGTGGCTGGCACTTTACACTTAGGGCTTGGTCGGGACTAACTAGATATATTTGGGCTTATGTCCGTGCATAGAACTGGTTCTGTAACCAGACTACTGGAGTAGGGCTGGACTCCCTTTTTCATAATTGCCCACCATGAGAGATGCCAGGTGGGTGTAAGGATACACAAATCCTCGACTAAGCGGCACTGTATTGGAGTTTTCCCAGGGGAACTGGAGTGACGCCTCTATGCGACTGTGAGTTGCTGAGAGGAAGTCTCTGACTCCTGTTTGTGCTTCTGCACCAAACAGGAGTTTGGGGAGACCATGTATAAATACTTTCGGCTGGCCTCTGGGAAGTTCTGGCAAACCGTTAAGACGACTTAGAAAGGGAAAGGGGAGGAGAACGGCGAACCCGGACTGGGAATATTGTCATGTGGAAAGAGCACTGTGACGAACTTTTGAACCCCACCAACAGTCCTCCATGGAGGCAGCAGAGTTTGAAGACTTGGAGGAAGACTCATCCATATCCCTGGCAGAGGTCGCTGAGGTAGTAAAAAAGCTCCTCGTTGCCGAGGTGCGAGGGGTCGATGAGATTCACCCTGAGATGCTGAAGTGTCGCATGGAGGTCGGGGTCATTGCCTATAGAGTGGCAGACCGGGCTGGTGGTTCCCATATTGCTGGAGAGGAGTCTCTGACCGACTGTCGAACCACAGATCCAGGAAGGGCATTCCGTATTACGTCCCGGTCGTTTAACAGTGGACGGGCTCTTTACCCTGGTGGTTCATGGGAGTTTGCCCTTCCAGCCTACATGTGTTCTGTGAACTTGAAGAAGACTTATGACCCTCGACAGGATTTCAAGGCACAGCGAGGGGGAGGAGGGCGTCCGGTTCGGGCACGTCAGAATTGTGTCTCTGCTCTTTGCAGATGATGTGGTTCTGTTGATTCCATCAGACTCTGACCTTCAGCACTCACTGTGTCTTATAGAAGCCGAGTGTGAAACAGTCAGGATGAGAGTCAGTACCTCCAAATCTGAGGCCAAGGTTCTCTGCTGGAAAATGGGCGATTGCGCCTTCCGGATTTGAAGTAAGTCACCGTCTCAAGCAAAGGAATTAAAGTATCTCTGGGTATTGTTCACGAGTGAGGGTAAAATGGAGAGTGAGATGGATAGACGGTTTGGTGCAGCATCAGCATTGATGTGAGCGTTGCACCAAACGTAGTAGTGAAGAGGCAGCTGAGCCAGAAGGCAAAGCTGTTGATTTACCAGTTCATCTACGTTCCGACCCTCACCTTTGGTCATGAGCTTTGGGTAGTTACCAGAAGAATGAGATAGCGGATACAAGAAACCAAAATGTATTTCCTTCGTAGTGTGATGAGCTTACGCTTCCAGAGGGAGCTCGGAGTAGAGCCGCTGCTCCTTTGCAACGAAAGTGGGCAGCTGAGATGGTTCAGACATCTGATTAGGATGCCTCTTGGATGCCTCTCTTTAGAGGTTTTCCGGGCATGTCCAACTGGTAAGAGGCCCAGGGTAGACCCAAAACATGCTGGAGAGATGTGCGCCAGTTCAAGACATCACACAATTGTAATAAAAAGATTAGTTCATTGTTATCACTTCCTCGTAAGAATCATTATTTTTGAATGCATGCTGGAGTATGAAAATCACTCCAGGGAACTTTTGTCACAATGTACCAATAAACAGGGACTTCATTCTGCACAGTACAAGTGTGCACCTTTTTTTCTGTAATATACCTCAACAAACAGATTGCATTCCTTTATCAGTAGATTTAGGACACAAGTACAATGCAACATTGAAAATAATCCTGTGCTTGGTCAGGGGAGTTTAACATTTTTAAAGGACCAGTAAAAGGCTGATGTTGGATGTGTTTTTAGTGATTAATTTAATTGAAAATAAATTATTTCATCTCTGACCGTTTCTTCACGTGTAGCCTGTTAAATAGCATCCCTATAGTCTGAAAACTTGTGAAAAAATGATGTGTTTGTGAAACGTTACAATCCATGCTCTAGCCTGCGGTCCCTTGTTTGCTAAAATTTAAATACATTTACGAGAGTTTCTTAGACACAATTTCAGCATGATTTAAAGCATGACCAACAGTGGACTTTCAAAATGTTCCCAGTCTGCTCATCGGTCCACTGTTGGTGAACGTGTAATGACTTCAACGTCCACTGCTGGATAGGTATGCAACTGCATTCACACACACACACACACACACACACACACACACACACACACACACCCACACACCCTACTGAGAAGGTTTTTTCCCCCATCTTTGGAGCCTCTTGAAACACTCACTTTGAATATCAAATTGGTCGTGTGTGTGTTTGTGGGCAGCTGCTGACATTTTTGATAAGACATTTTGTTCATTGCCTTTATGATTGTGTGATTATTTGTGCGTATGTGCATCTATTGTGTTGTTTTTAATTGTATAGTTTGTTTGTATAGCTGACCATTTCAAGTTGTATGTACAGTACACTGTTAGCGTGTGGTTATATCTGTATGATGGTGTTAGTATTTTCAAGTGAATGTTATTTTTGTGGCCACCAAGGCTCATGGGAGTTGCAACAATGGCTCTTTTTTCCTGTGGAATGTGTCTGCAAATTTCTGTGCATGTGTTTGTTTGGAGGTGGGTGGATTTGTGGTTTGAGGCGCAAGGATAAAATATCTGTCTTTGTGACTTCCTCATGAACTCTCTGGGCTCCTTATGGGCACTCTGAACACACATACTGTGTTTAAGTGCAGTCATACACAAGGATGTCTCACATAAACGTGTTAAACCTGCACTAAATATGTCCATTTATGCACACACAGGCTTTCCTGATGGGAAATGGATACGGACACTACTTGTCATACTTTTTGATACTTGAACAATGCCCATATGAGCTGTTTTTTAAAACAAAGAAAGAAAATAATTTTTCATCAGCAGAAACAGAAGTCTTTTGCCGCGCCATTCGCGTCAACCGTGCCGTGTCAACCGTGCCGCGCCATTCGTGTCGATCATTTACTACAGGTCTTATCAATATTCTGTCTTCCTATTGGCTAACTTTGTGTTCATGCAGAGATGGCACAGTGCAACATACAGATAAGTAATGTAACGTCTGTTGATTTAAGCACACGGATGTCCCTGTAATCCTATGCGCGAGTGTGTTTTTTTTTGTTCCATTATCAATTATTTGGGACTACGCAACATGGCATAACAGAGCAATGTAGAGAAGAGGCCGGGGCAGGATGAATGTATCATAAGTAGGAAGAAAATTGAATCTGTTGGTGAGGACACGTGTCTGCCTGAGCAGCCGGTTCAGACAGGAGACTGGGTCAGGTGTTAGGCAGGAGCAGGAAACCGCAGTCGCATCTAGAGGACAGGTCATGAATGATAGACATGGAAAAAAAAAGGAGACATTAGAAAATCATGGCACACACTAAAGAAGAGCAGGATGATGCAGATGAGTGCTCTACAGGGACAAGCAGACAGAAACACAAGTGCAATTACATGCCAAAAGGAGTACAAAAATTGTGCCACCGGATATGTATAAATATAACCTCAGTTTTAACGAACCAAAAAAATTTACAAACAGGTGCAAATGAAAACAAAAACAAAGAATGTCCAATGCCAGTGCTCTGCCAAACCGCTGGCTTTGCAGGCAGTGGTCTTAAACTTACTGCTAGTGTGTGACGCATTTTGGGTTATTTTCAACAATAAACATCCCATTGCCGTAGTCCATTTCAAATTGTGATAACAATGTTATGTGGGTGTGTGTCTTTGTTTAGTTTGCACAGGGCGAGTACAACAGTGGGTTTGACCTGAATGTGATGCCGGTTTGGATCAACAACATCACCGGTGATGGAGTAGTGGTCAGCATCATTGATGATGGTGAGTCCAACCTTCACTGCAACACATTGCATCTCTTAAATAGGTTCACAGCTACATGATGCTTAGACTGATTATACAGATGTGTATTTGTTGGCCAAAATGAGAACATAATGGCATATTATAAATATTTACAAAACACAAAATATTTAATTGTAACAGGACTCATTGGTGGGTTCTTTCTGGTTGTGTACTAGCTGGAAGAATCATTTTAAATGTACACCTATCTGCTTAATACAATAAGGGCAAGAGCAGACATCTAAAATATCTGGAAAATAAACGTATCTTCGGAAATTGTATAGCAGATTTTGCTTTTGCGTTTGCTGTGGTGTGCGCTATTCAAATAGATTTTAGGATTGCGAAGACTCGTCAAGTTTGGTGTGATTAAGCTGAACTCAGACCCTCAGTGGAGAGGGTGATTGATTCATTTTGGTGTCTCCCCCTCACCACCACCATACACCACCACCGTCATCTTCTCCTCAGTCACGCCACAATAAGAATTCATTTCTCTCTGATTGCTGGGATATCTGGCAACAAGGGAAATGAGAGAGCGGCATCTTATGGGCTCATTCATCAAGAACTAATTGAAGCCTCACTAGTCTCAAGTGCTGATAGAGCTGGAGTAGCGTTGGAGTGTGCTGTTTGGGGTGTGTGTGTTAAAAGTGTGCATGTGATACTTTTGTTGCATCCTAGTGGCTCTGACTCTGCAGTGTGTGTGTGTGTGTGTGTGTGTGTGTGTGTGTGTGTGTGTGTGTGTGTGTGTGTGTGAAAGTGGAGAGAATGTCCTATAAACGTGCCATTATTCCAAGATATGGCTTATTTGTGTGTGTGTGTTTCGTTTTTGTCCACTTGCGTCCATGCACATCACTCTGCTCGCATGTGTGTTGATTCTTACTTGGCTGTCTGTTTTTGATGGAAGATGCTGCTATTATGGTGGACCGCTGTGGACAGAAGGTCTTCTCTTCACTGTGCATCCCTCTGCATACAGACAAGTACTCATTGTGTGTGTGTGTGTGTATGGGGGGGAGGGGGTATTGGTGGCGAGGGGTGGAGGGCGGATACAGAATGAGCAAGCAAGCCAGAGCAAAAGAGAAAGAAATTAAATTGAGGAAGGATATAGAGGGAAATGTCAGGCGAAAGCAAGAGTAAAAAGGATTCAGAAAGGGGGCGAGTGTGTGTGCGTTTGTGTGTGTGTGTAAATGTATATGTATGTGTGCGTGTGTGTATGAGACAGAGTATTAGACTTGCACCACTGAATCTCCTTTCCTCCGAGGCTATTGTACTCTGCTCCACCTCTCTGTATTGATTCCACCGGGCAAGAGCTCCCTCACTCTCTCTCCTTTTCTCTCTCTCCATCTCTTTCTTTCATTTTCTTGGTCTTTCCCTCTTCTATTTTCCTGTTCACTCTTTGTTACCTACGAGGTGACTCCTTCCTCTGGCCAACCCTTGTTTTCTTTTTCTTCCCTCTCTTTCTCTGTCTCTCCTCCTCTCAGACAGTCTGCCTCTCACAGCTGAAAGATTGTGTACACGCTCACCTTTAGCCACCTTTCAATCGATGCCTATTGATTTTAATATCACAATGAAATAAATTATTTTTCTTTGAGTGAAAGCCCCCTCCTCCTCCATCTCCACCCTTCAATACAATCACTCTGCTTTTAGAGGTAATGTAATTGGCATCAGAGGTCGACCCTCTACAAGCGTCGAATCATATTCACCATGCCACCTTCAATTTGCCTGCCCATGTCCGGGTTTGCTTCTGACCCTCCTCTTTCAGACTGTTGTCCCACAGTTGCACCATTAGATATTGTTGCATTACATTTACTTTTATTACTGGACATGGACTTCAGCATGACCCTTATAAAACACAACTCAAATAAATCGGAGGCCTCATTCACCAACGTGCTTATGGACAATTTTGTGTGTATTTTGTAAAATATATTAAGAGCAAATAAAAATGCCATCAACACCTCTATTTCATCTTGTTCCTAAAGTGATGCATCACTGAACACCTATGGTTTTCGGAGATCCCTAAAACAGTTTTAAAAAGGACAAAAGCAAATTCGCAATCTAAGTTGTGGAGGTGGCAAATGAAACAGTTTGGTTTAGCAGGATTTCAGATAGTGTTGTGGCGATAGTAGCGTTCTCAGCTATGACACATTAGACACGTTTGATTGATTATGCAGCGTATTTGTAAGGTAGCAACGGCTGTGTGCACAGGTGGGTTACCTGTGCTAACTACGGTAACTATGTAACAAGAAATGAAGCAGAGCTGCAATGGTTAGTGGATTCATCCATTACTCGATCAACAGAAAATTGATCTGCAAGTCTGTGATAATTGGTTGTTTAAGTCATTTTTCAAGGAAAAGTGACGATTCTAAGTTCTCAAATGTGAGAATCTGTTGTTTTTCTTGGTCTTACATTATAGTAAACTAAATATCTTTGGACGGTTGGCTGGACAAAACAAGATGCCGTCACCTCGGGCTGTAAGATATTGATGGGCTTTTAATCACTGTTTTCTTATGTTTTATAGATGAAACGATAAATTGAGAAAATGAAAAGGAAGCTTTCCTTTCTAGATCCTTGAAAAAGGATGTGGTTGACAATATATGGCATTTTGGGAGTGTCTTTTTATGTAACTGAGCCCGTACGTGCACAAGCACATTAATATGGAACAGGTGATATTTATCTTTGTTCATTATGTAAATGTGTGCGTACGCATGTTTGATGAATAGCAACTTTCTTGTCCATATGGGCACATTTTTAGAACTCGTTCTATGCATGCTTTGATTCATGAGGCCTTAGGATACAGCAGGAATAAAAGACAAACTGTCCAGGGGTGTAAATATCACCAGTACCGTTGCACTGAGGCCTGTGGGGGGGGGGGGGTCCGATTTCCACCCTGTAAACATGCTTGTTTTGAAAGAAGAACTTAAATTAGCAAGACATTGGTGTCAAACCTATCTTCTTTTGGAAGTGGTGGGGGGGGGGGGGGTAAAATAGACAATAACAAAGTTAATGCTACATGTATGTTTATTGTTCAATGTCAAGTCTCTATTTGATCATGTGATAAGATGTGTGTGTGTGTGTGTGTGTGTGTGTGTGTGTGTGTGCTCCATAACTGGTAACTAGCGATCGTAACCATCGCAACTACCTTACGCCACTGCGACTGTCACATACAGTGCACATCAACATAAACATGAAGTACCCATAAGGTTAAATATATAGATTCATCAGTGAAATGGCATCCAGCCACCTTCCTCCCACCTTTTCCCAAGACAACGCCACAGTGTCCCTGTCACCCTGCTATCAACGCTGGCCTTCGTCCCTCCTGGCTTGGCCAGCCCGAAAGCACTCCAGTATCGATCGGCGCTCACGCCATTGTCATTACATGTCATTGGTACACAGAGAGGCACAGGACGCAAATTAGACTGGGGAAGGGAGGGAGAAAGATGAAAGAATAGAGGTGAAATATACACAAAGAAGACTGAGCAGTGTCAAAGATAATTCAGCGAGTACAGATTCCCATAATGCAAGACAGTTTTATGTCACACTGATTTGCACAGAGCAAGAAAATTATCCTTTTTAAATATACTGTCTTCTTTGCAGAGTGTCGCAATAGCATGTAGGATACAGGTAAACATCTATTTTAGCCAATCCTGTCTTCTCTCTACATCTTTTTACTGCACTCTATAGAAGATGTACACATTGTGCCCTTTCTTTTTTTATGTCCTAGGAATTACAGTAAGGCGAAGATGGTGGGATTTTATAGTTGTACCTTGAAAAGCACTCCACTGAGGGAATAATGTGCGCCCAATATAGATGCAGAGCTGTATTTACTGTATGTTGTCATACTCTGTGTTTGTCTGTTGATGTAGGAGGTGCAATAAAACATTTTATGGCTGATTATGAAGGCTTACGTAGCTGCTGTAAGAGCCAGAGCTGTATTTTGTGAGATGCTACAGTCTCAGCTGATTGACTTAATGAGGTGTGTCTACAGCATGAAAAGCATTTCATCTACTGTCTGCTCATGCGGTGTGTCCTACAGAAACCGTGCATTAAAAAAAAAAAATGAACAGTCAGTACGGATAATGAAATTTGTATTTTTTTAAAACTGTATTGGAATAATCCGTGGTGTCATGATACAGTACATGGTCTAAACCTGGTATGCTGTTGTCTAATTAACATTATTACAGTTTTCAAAATATTAGTTATCCAAAATACTCACCTTACTTTACCAACAGCTGGCGTTGTGTGGCTCACCACCAGAATGCCATCTAAAAGAAGCAAGCCAAAATGTAGGTAAAAAGAACAGCTTTTGCTTTGAATTGATTCACACTGAAACAACTGGCATGCTAGTGATTTGTATGTGCTCCACACGGGTGGTAGTGACTTCTATCATATTAATATTACTAGAATTTGAGCTCAAACTGACTGTATTTTCCCAATGCAGTGTAAACAAAACAGGCCATAATTTCCCCGATCACTGCACATTTGAAAAAGTGTTACACACAGACCACTGAACACACAGCCGGCTGTTGAGGAAACACAAACTAAGAATGATTATCATGATTATCTTTTGCCACCAAGCAACAAAGTCATTGGCAGGTAGCTAAACAAATTGGTCGCTAAGCAACACAGAAGTACCTGTACGTGTGTAATTATTTTGTTATTATAATGAATGTTTATTTTAATTTATTATAAGTTCTCTCTTTTTTTTAAATGTGTTGCAGTTTATGTATTGTATCCTCTGGTGTTTTCAGCAGAGAGAGCCAATGTGTCTCTTTATTTGTACATTACGCTCACGGTGTTTATGCATCCGTGCATTAAGGCAGGCTCCTGGCTCAAGTCCAAAGAGTGTCAGAAGTCTGCGTGTGCGGCTGTTTGCTGGAAATGACACTGGCCAGCTCTGTAAAAGTGTGTCTGACAGGGGGAGCGACGGAGTCAGCGCTTTTCTTTCCACCCTCCTTGCCCCCCCGCTGTTCAATCCATCCAGCTGCTGTCAC